ATATATATATATATACGTTCAAAAAAAATGTTTTTTTTTTTTTACATAAATAAAAAATGAGCATATTAAAAAAAATTTATAATAAACTTTGAAAGGGTAATTCCAGATAAAGCTTATGTCCTACGTGCAATATTCTATAAGATGTTCTGGAAATCTTACTCGTCTTCCAGAACGCGTTGTTTTAGGTTTTTCTATCGACGTTGACGAAGTATCAAGTTGTGTGTCGGTTGTCGTGTAGGGTACTACGAGTGTAGTAGCTGTGTCGTTTGCTTGTACCGAAGGAAAATCGACGTAGCTAGGGTTTCCTTCTAGGTACGCAGCTTTGAGTCGATCGATACTGATGCTATCTTTCGTACCGTTCTTATCAACTACATAGTACTTAGGTTCGCGTTGAAGAACTTTGAAGGGTCCTTCGTATGCTGATTCGAGGGGTCGTCGATGTGAGTCTCGACGAACGAAGACGTGTGTACTATGTCGTAATTCGGGTTGAACGAAAACATCAGTTGATTGAGGTCGAGTGTGAGCAGGTTTAACTGAACGCATAGCGTTTGTAAGCCTACTCGTGTAAGAGTTTAGATCCATGTTCAATGAAGAAGCTGAAGGATCCACGAATTCTCCTGGGAGTCGGAGTGTCGTTCCGTAAACGAGTTGAGATGCCGTGTATCCAATTTTAATCTTTCACTGCATTGCGGATACCTAGCAAGACGAGTGGAAGAGCGTCTGTCCACTGTGAAACGTTTGAAGCTGATAATGAAGCTTTTAATTGTCGATGAAAACGTTCTACCAACCCGTTTGCTTGTGGGTGGTAGGCGGTCGTTCGGAAGCGCGTGATTCCTAAAAGTGTGGTCAGACAACGGAAAAGTCCAGATTCGAACTGGCGTCCGCGGTCTGTAGTGATGGTTGAAGGGCAGCCGAAATTTGCTACCCATCGTTCGACGAAAGTGCGAGCCACTGTTTCAGCAGTAATGTCCTTAATCGGTACTGCTTCTGGCCATCGAGTAAAACGGTCTACGCATGTTAGGAGATATGAGTATCCGTTCGAGTCGGGTAAGGGTCCTACCAAATCTAGATGGACGTGGTCGAAACGAGCGTCAGGGGTTTTGAAAGAACCTAAGGGACATTTGTTGTGTCTGATTACCTTAGATTTCTGACAGCTTACACAGGAGCGTGACCACTCCCTCACGTCTTTATTCATGCCAGGCCAACAAAAGCGTTCGGCTATAAGTTCGATTGTTGCACGAGCACCTGGATGAGAAAGATTGTGCAACGTATTGAAGACGTTGCGGCGATAGTGTTTTGGTACAATTGGACGATTCCTACCTGTAGATGTGTCACAGAGTAAGGTCTCCTTACCTGTTCCCATCTGCCTAATACTTAGTTTAAGAGTTGTCGAGGATAACTCATGCTGAAGATCAATGTCTTCTTTTTGAAGCTGAGCGAGTTTAAGAAGGTCGATTCCTTGGAAACTGTTCAAGGAGCTAATTCGAGACAAGGCGTCTGCGACTACATTGTTTGCTCCAGAAATATGTTGTATGTCTGAAGTAAACTGCGAAATGTAGTCGAGTTGTCGAGACTCTCGCGGTGAGTACTTGTCTGAAGATGAACCTAAAGAGAAGGTAAGAGGTTTGTGATCGGTAAAGAGTGTGAATTCTCTTCCTTCGATGGAATGTTGAAAATGCCGTACAGCACAATACATAGCTAGGAGTTCCCTACCGAACGTGCTGTACCTAGATTCAGCGTCTAGCAACCGTCTCGAGAAAAATCCTAAAGGTTGCCACGAGTTGTTAACCCATTGTTGTAAGACTGCTCCGATTGCTGAGTCGGATGCGTCTACGGCGATACTAATGGGCGCTTGACTGTCCTGATGAGCAAGCAAGGTTGCTTTAGCGATGTGTTCCTTAACTGTGGAAAATGCTTTACGGGCTGTGTCGTCTAAACTAATTGATTTCGCATTTCCACGAAGCTGATCGGTCAACGGTTTCATTAGGGATGCGCATTTAGGTATGAACCGTCTATAGAAACTTACGAGTCCGTTAAAAGTTCGTAACTGCTTGATCGTGGTCGGTTCTGGGTAATCCAGAATGGCCGCCACTTTGCTCCTAAGGGGTCGGATGCCTTGGGCATCAATGGTGTGTCCTAAGAAATCTAAGCAGTTAGTTCCGATTTGGCATTTCTGAATGTTGACAGTAATGCCATGCCTTTGAAGTCGATCGAAAACAATGTCCAGATGCTTGAGATGCGATTCTCTGTCCGGACTTGCTATTAGACAGTCATCAACATACGCATGTACGAAGTTGAGACCTCGGAAGACGTCGTCTATAAACCTTTGGAAGGTTTGAGCCGCGTTTCTTAAACCAAAAGGCATTCGTAGAAATTCGTAAAGACCGAAGGGAGTGATGATGGCGGTTTTAGGAATGTCGTCAGTTGCCATCGGGATTTGGTTATAAGCTTTAACCAAGTCGATTTTTGAAAAGACAGTTGTACCTTTCAAGGTAGCTGTCAAATCGTGAATATGAGGCAGCGGGTAACGATCGGGAATGGTTTTAGCATTCAGACGCCGATAATCACCAGTTGGCCGCCAATCATTGCTGTCCTTTTTAGGGACCATATGCAATGGGGATGCCCATGGACTATTCGATGGTCGAATTATTCCTAGGTCCATCATGTGGTTGAATTCGTTTTTAGCTAACCTAAGCTTTTCGGGAGCGAGTCTTCGGGCTTTCGAAAATACAGGTGGTCCTGTAGTCGAGATGTGATGTGTAACATTGCTGGTTACACAAGGTAATTTCGATTGCGATTGGTATATCCCGGGGTATTTGTCGAGTACTGATTGGTACAAGGGGTCTATGGCGTGCTTAATCGTGACTGGGGATAACCTGCAACCAGAACAAGGAGTTACGCAAACGGACAACTTAGTGTTTCCGTCTATTAACCTTCGTGAGCGTGTGTCGATGAGTAGATTGTGGTGTTGTAACAGGTCAATACCAATGATTGGCATAGAGACATCTGCAACCACGAAAATCCAGTGTATGGGTTTGCGTAAACCCACGTTAAGGTAGACGTACCTTTTACCGTAAGTAGCGATCGGCTTTCCGTTTGCCGCCTGTAAACTTAAAACAGACTCGCAAAGTCTGTCGTCGAGATTTGCTGGAAGAACGCTAACTTCTGCGCCAGTGTCGACGAGGTAGCGAACTTTCGTAGTCACATCCGTGACATATAAGAGGCGGCTGTGTTCGCCGGCTACGGTTGCCGTTAACGCGTGCCGGCTGGGAAGTTTCCCGAACTGTTTTTCGTGTCACTCGATTTTGGGGTCGGATAATTACAAGGTTTCCTGCAGTTTCTGGAAAACTTACCGTACTGGTTATGATACCAGCACCAGTCGGGATTGTCTGTCTCTCGTGGTCGAGAGCCAGATCGCTTACGTGAGGCACTTCTACGCGGGGTTTTTGACCGACTACGGTCATTGCGAACTCTAAGATATCGTGTAAGCGTGTGACATAGTTCGGCCATGTCAGTCGAGGTCGATTGGGGTTTTTCTTTGACGGAAAAAACCTCGGCCTTAGAAGGTCTAGTGATTTCCAAGATTCGATCGGCAGATGCAGCTAGTTCATCTATGGCATTGTTTTGAAATGAAACAAGCACTGCCTGCACCTGTTGAAGGAGTTTAGACAAGAAAAGTTGTCTAAATAGGCCATCATCGAAAGTTCGTTGGCCGATGACTTCTCTCATTCTAAGCAACATGTCCGTCGCAGAACCATGTTGCAAGTCGATATTGTTAAGGAGTTGGTCTAACCGTTGTCGATCAGTTAGGTCTCCTCGTTTTAAAATCGATAGCTTAAGCGATTCGTAAGGTTCGGAAACATCACTAGTAAACATACTAGGTGTTACGTACCTGTTAAACTCGCGCGGTAACGCCTTAACTACCGCGAGGAAACGTGTGCGCGAGTCCGTGATTCCGTGCATGCAAAAATCGGCTTCTGCATAGCAGAACCAGGACTCAATATTGTCGGGCCAAAATGGCGTTAACTGAATCGAAATAGGGGGAATAGACTTTAACTTAAAAACCTTGGGTGAGTGTTCCGTCATAGTAATATAGCTAACGAAAATGTCTAATTAAAATATATCCGGAAAAAAAAATTCGCGAAAAAAGTATATCACAATATATAAAATTCAAATAAAGAATAACAATGAATAATAATGTTCCAAAATGGAACAGACTCACAGTATATTGACTTGGTGTACCAGATCACGTCGGGTTCACCAATGATGATGCAACGGATATTCTAGTTTTACAACTAGATACCAGTAGCACCTTCTAAATTCGGTTGTTACCAGTCAGATAGAAAATCAGAAGTCAAACGAGAAGAGGCAGGAAAGATATATTTGATTCGTTACCAATATATCGAGGACCTTTTCTATGAGCTGGCTAATGAAACGTAGGAGCTGTGTCCCACGCAGTATTGAAACGTGATCTGGTGCGGATGCATGACCGAAAGCCTTCAGCTAAACAAGTCCACTTAAACAACGTGGTCAGCATCCAATGTCGAACACTTAATGAGCTATTGATTTTGGGGAATTATTTACAGCTACATCACAATATCTCTGATTGTACATTTTCACCTTGGTAAGCAATCGATCGCAAACATTTCATGAATGTGCATGACTAGGTCGTGAGATCAATAGACATAATTGTGTGTTAAAACAAGCGACAACAAATAATTTGTTGAAATTTCTGGATTGGAGGAACAGGTAGCTCAGATATTCAATTTGACCGTCAATTATTTCGTCGTAATTTCTTTTCGTAAGTCATATAATATGGTTTAAATGACCAAGCACAGGCTCAAGCGTGTTACAATTGATCGAAAAAAGCTGTCGATCTAATGTTGTGAAATCACGGTTCTGAATCGTATCTAATTGCTACGTTGGATGTATGTGCAAACTTACGAGCGTTTTTGGAACATTTCGGTACTGCTGGCTACTACAAGCCTTTAGCAATCTAAATGAGTCATGTTGTTAGGAGAGCTTCTCACGCCGGTAGTTGGTATTCTGCAGAACGTATGAATTCATTTACCTTTAAAGTTTACTGCTGGCTTCCAGGTGCTAAGCTAAACAACCAGTTGCAGAAATGGTTGTCTGAAGTAACTGTTGATAGACAACCAGCCCGTGCTATCATTTCACCGTATATGAACCACTTATTTTGATATGATATATTATAGACATGCTGGTTATGACTATTCGGGGCCTTGTGCTGCGTTTGCATACAAACAAATAGACCCTCGTCACATGTAAGCTGCATATATTCAAATAGCTCTGCCCAGTAAACGTATTTTCGTATTAGGTCCTGCACACTATATGAGCCTCAGAGGAAAATGCGCTCTATCCACAGCAGACTTCTTCGAGACTCCGTTGTACTCTTTGTCAATTGGTAAAGATGGTAAGTAAATACTTTCTGAACTATGGGCTAATTTCTCTTTTAGTATATCGAGACCTTGAAGAAACAGGGGAGTTTGTTAGTCTACCTTTGGACAGAGACGAGGAAGAGCATTCCATAGAGATGCAAATGCCGTATATAGCGAAGATGATGGAAGGGTAACTTCCTGTTAAATATTTATTTAGTTCATACATTTTTCTCAAGTAAATATATAACCAAGCTTTTTTGTAATTAGTTATTAAATTGTTGCCTCTTGCCGTTATCCAGGCTTATCACGAACTGAGTGTAAAACAAATCGTTATTATTATCATCATTATTATTAGGTGTTTGAATCACAAACATTGGAGATCAGTAGAACCAATGGTAAGTGTGCGTAATAAAAACAATGTGATTCCTCGCGTGGTCAGTTTTCGAACAACTAGTGATAATAGTTGTTGGCTCTGCTTAGGGTTTTTTGGGAATTTTCATCATTAATAAGACTTTTAAGGTGTATTCGGGCATAGGGGCACATTTTTATTAGTCATACATTTATTCAAGATCATGGGGTCTGAATACGACTAGTTTTTAGTCCCTGAAAAAATCATTTGGTTTATATCAACACTTGCAGCATCTCTGTAAATCCTTGTTCACTGTGTTTACCAGTTTGCATGTATGCTGTTGCACTAAATCCCTTCCCATCTTTCATACAAAAGTGAAAATATGAAACCGTTTTTACAAATCGCTTTGTAACTATAAAGATCGCAACCACATAACCAAAACAACATATTGAAATCCATGTGACAGCTAAGAGTTCTAAATCATGTCAATCTATACTTAATTTCTCTCAAATCTGATTGTTTCGGTTAGTGTAGAACTTCATAATCACTAGACGTTTAGTGCCGTTGATAGTAATCAAGATATTATTCGCTGGTAGGAAAATGTTGGTAAATATTTTCTAAAAGTTCGGGTTCAATCTTAGTTTCTGTAAAGTTCTAATAATGTAAATTAGGGACGTCCATATTAGTAGCATTATATTTAAAAAAACAAGTTAACTCCCACCAGCCATTTTATATCGATTTCAGTTGCTTTCTAAGATGTTATAATTGTTATTTTCCCATTCACTTGCTTTAATTTGGTGTTCCTATTATGCATAAGACCAGCCACCCTGACTTTCATCTCATAAACTTCTTTGTATCCTCACTAAGTTCAGGCAAATTTTGACCAAGTCAAGTGAAAATAGAGTTGTGTGAATGTTTGTCGAAATAAATATAAATTTCGTTCTTACTTCAAACTACTTAAACGCATTTTATTTCAAACCTCCACTACACCACTTTGCAACATACAGTGCTGAAACGAATTTTAAAGAAAATCAAAATAAACTACTTTGTAATAGTAAATCTCAGTACACTGCAAGTTATCGCATGCCATTCAATTTTTAATCTTTACTCGTCATGCTCATTTGTGCATACATACCTCCAACTTCACCAACCTAATATTATTAAGCAACCAACAGACAAAAACTCATCACATCGAAGTCGCATTTCCAGAAAACACTTCATACACTAGTTTATACGTCAATTTTACTCAAATTCAGAATGTTATGCTGTTGTTTCTTCCGAAATCCTATTTTATTTGATGTTGGTGTTCTAGTTACCAAGGGAAATTCTCTGTAGTACCAATTTTAGTAGGATATTTAACTCCAGAAAGGGAAGCAGTTTATGGTCAGATTTTCTCTCGATACCTATCAAATCCTGAAAACTTCTTTGTGATATCTTCTGATTTTTGTCACTGGGGTATGTTAATTTTTTTCGTATTTTGGTGTTCTTAGGTATTTAGTTACTTTAATGCTTAACCAAGTATTATTTCTGGTATTATTAATGTAACTATCTTGTAGAAAATACTTTAAGCTTTCGTTAGTTGAGTCCGTTAGAATAAGTGGGATTTTTAAGTATGTGTCCAACATAATCGCGAAACCGTAATGTCTCACTAAACTTTTTCACTTGAGATTCAGAACCCCTATAATACCTGTTGTTCGAAGGCATATTGGATGAAGCTTTTTTGATTTTTAAAACGATTCAGCACAGTATGTATTTCCTGTCAAGATTTCCGACTGATATAACTACCTTCTGCCCTGTGTGATTCATAGGTATCTCTTGGCATTACTCGTTTTACTGTAAAAGGCTGGATGTACGATAGAGGAACTTGGAGAGTTCTTCTTATAATTGGTAAAATTTAGTTTTTCTAACTTGAAAATGGTTTGTAGCTTTTTAGTTTGCTCGGCTTTACCACTAGCAAATACATCGTATCCAATCCCATCATTGTGTTGATATTTAAAGATGTTTTGGGATGATAAAGATCATCTTATGAGTAGGGTCATCTTTGGACACTAATTTCAGCGTCTTGAACATTTAATTTCCGTGACGTTCATGCTGGAGACGAAACCTGGTTAAAAGGTACGTATTTAGCCTGTTTGTGATATGAAACCACATAACAAAAAGTCACGTTGTGCTACCATGTGTTAGCAAGCTACAACTCCATTATTGGTGCCTTAAAGAATTTTTCATTCGGTTGGTAGAACACTTTGAAGAACTCTTAAATAGACCAACCTCACTAGATCCATCGCACATAGAAGCAGCATACACAGACCTTCCCATTAGCTGTCACTTCACCAACGATCAGAGAAATCAGCATCGCTATCAGACAAACCAAGAGTGGGAAGACAGCAGTTTATTCCAATATATACTGCTTCACAAACTTCAGATTCTACTTTGAATAACCATTTTTGGTCGAATTTTAACGATGGTACACAAAAAAACTCTACCTCATGAACTACGTGCAATATCATTTTTAATTAATGAATATTTTTTGGAACAAAATTTTCGTTTAACTGCAATTCAATTTGCTGAAGAAGTAGAAGAACATGGTTTGCATAACCTGAAATCATGGCATGAAGTAATTGTTGAAAATAATAACTTTTTAGAGATAATTATCAGAGTTATTCACATACTTTATCGTATTGTTACAAAATGTAAACTCTGTTTCACCTTTCAGGTGTGTACCAAGAAATAATTACATTTTTCATGCACTTAATATAATTATAACCGTTATTTAAAAGTATAGACATGTAATTTTTCACCATCATTTCTAGGTTTGAGGTTGTGTCCTATTTAGATTGATGTGTATGAACATGTAGTATCAATCTCTGTAATCTACAAACTTGATTAATAAATTTATTTTATTTTATAAGTCGTATTCATCACGGATTTATATAAGTTTAGGTACCATTTAGAACCAATGAGGACTGGACAGCTATTTGGTTCTAATAATTGAGCTTTTCAGTAGTGCAGGTTAACCGTTGGTTTTGGTGATTAGGCGTTCGTTGCGAGAACTGAAGGTTCTAGGATTGTTGGTGTACACTAGTGAGAGGTCCCATACTGAAATGAAACAGCTAACCAATGCTATCTGCTTCCCAATGGTACCTCAACTGAGATCAATCTGTGACGAATACAACCTGCAAATCGAACTAATCTCTACAAAATCCCTTCGATTGAATTAATTTTATTTTACTTTATTTATGTACGTGTGTGTAGATTTGTGGAAATCATTTGTCTTTGAGTTATTATCATTATTTATTTTGTTGTTCGCATTCATGAATTACATGAACTTAATATAACTTTCCCGTGCCACATTATTAAGAATTTTGAAAACAGATTGATTTTTATGAATACAACCCACCATTGTATATGATCTATTTGTTCATTTCATTGTATAATCTTCAAAAACTTATGAATTTCAAGTTATTTAGCTTGATAGTTTGGTATTCAACAGATCTTTTATAGGCCTAGTAATTTTGATTTATAGCAGTAGGTTTTGTGCAGCGAAATGGCAATTTAAATGAACTCATTCACCGTTGCTGCTATCTTGACGTAGTGGTCGGGCTTGCCTGTCGTGATGAACCAACCTGCCTATACTGGCTGGAACAATCGCTCCTCAAGGTCCTACCATGCCAGACAGATCGGTTGAAGAACAGTGAGACTAAAAGCAGAAAACCAAAGGTCCGAAGGCGAAGTCGTACTGTGACTGTACAGAGGTGTGACGGCAGTAAGGTGTTTTCTTCAGACAACCAGCATGACGGCGATGCTCCTTTCCCACAAGGAGGGGTGAGGTTAGAAAAGGTCGACCCTAAAAATACACACCTCGCCTTATCCCACGGATATCCGTCCCCGGCGGTAAGGTCCCAACAAGTACGGAGCTAACACAAAAACTACCCACAAAAAGGTCGTGTGTGACCGACCTCAAGCAGTTGTCCCTTGCGGTCACGCTCTCAGGTCACTAAGACCACTTCTAACCCAATTTCCTTTTCAGGTACCCCTAGAAGAACTCTTCCACGATGTAGGCAACCAGGAAGTGATGACCGCCCTCATACCTCTAACAGCACTCAAGACCACTGTATTAATAATCAATCTCCTTCTTCAATCCCTACTATTCCTTCTACCTTGACTTTCAACACTAAACTTCTTCTTCCGGTTTCCTCCTCAAGTGTCACCATGGCCTCCATGTATTCGGCGACCCGTTGGCTAGTTCTCGTGGACTTGCAGGTGTAGGCATAGCACTAAGTATAAGGGCAGAACAGGCACTATTAGAATGGATCCCCGTTAACAGTCGCCTGTGTGCTGTCCGGCTAAATGGCTCCGTAAGAACTCGGAAGGATAGGGACACACGTCGTTGCCTTTTCGTCGTTTCCGCCTACGCTCCCACTGACTGCAGCCATGATGAAGTGAAGGATGACTTTTACAGAAAACTCTGAGCTTCTTCAGAAAGCTAAGCGCTCAGACATAGTACTCGTAGCGGGTGACTCTAATGCCCAGGTAGGCAGCTTAAATCAAACAGAAAGACATTTAGGTGGGTGTTTTAGTATTTCGGCTCAACGAACCGATAATGGTGACCGTCTGTTGCAACTATGCTCAGACAATCGTTTATTTTTAGCAAGCACTAATTTTAAGCATAAGGAGAGGCATCGTCTAACATGGCGACCACCTGCACCAAACCAACGATGGACTCAAATAGACCATATTGTCATCAGTCGTCGTTGGAGAGGCTCAATAGAAGATTGTCGCTCGTATTGGAATACTTGTTTAGACTCTGATCACGCTTTAATACGAGCGCGCATTTGTCTGCGCCTCAATGGACGAAGGAAAAGTACACTAAGAAGACTCATTAGGATTGAACTGGAGGGCGAGAAAGCCAAATGCGAATTCCAGAAACAACTGAGTTCACATCTAGGCAGTTCTGTAAACGAGACTAACCCAAATGCTGCTTGGAAAGACACGAACAGCTGTGGAAACAGCAGTAACATCTATTCGTTATTTAAACCATAAGGCTCCCAAAAACCAGTGGATTTCTTCTAAGTCTATTTCACTGATGGATTCGCGTAAACTTATCCCATCAGGCTCTGAACACGACGAAGAGCGTAAACAAATTAGATCTAGGTTAACTAAAAGCCTGAGGAACGATCGTGAGCAGTGGTGGACAACGAAAGCAAAAGAGATGGAAAAGGCAGCGGCTGTAGGCAACTATTCAGAATAATACAAGAAACCGGAATTAAGAAGTCAAGTGTAAGCGAAAAAATCTCGGAAAAAGACGAAACCCTTCTCTGCTCTCAGCCCAGGCGCTTAGAACGATGAGCAGAACAGTTTAGCTGGCCTTCAGCTACTGCATCACTACCCACCATTCCCAAACAGTCTGAATGGGACATTCAAGTAGGTCCCCCGACCCTACTTGAAGTTCAAAAGGCTATAAGTAATCTGAAACGAGGAAAAGCAGCTGGTCCAGATGGATTGGCTCCAGAGGTCTTTAAATATGATGGTCCAATTTCAGCGATTAGGTTGACTAATATTCTGGCTAAAATCTGGGAGACGGACGTAATCCCATCTGACTGGTCACAATCTCTGATTGTCCCAATATATAAGAAGGGGCCAAAATCATCCTGTGATAACCATAAAGGAATTAGTCGTACTAACATAGCATCTAAAATACTAGCCTCAATAATTATCGGGCGCCTAACTAAGACTCGTGAACTGCAAATTCGAGAAAATCAGGCTGGCTTCAGACCTTGTCGTGGCTACATCGACCACATATTCACCATTCGTCAAGTTTTAGAGCACAAACATGTTTATTGGCGTCCGCCAATGATAGTTTTTCTTGACTTGAAAGCAGCAGTTGACTCTGTAGATCGAGGTTCTGTGGCAGTGTCTGTCATTGAAAGGTGTACCTCAGAAGTACATAAACCTTGTGAAGGCTCTTTACTCGAACACTACCAGTCGAGTGAGAGCTTATGGCGAACTGTCATCTGATTTTACAACCTCAAGTGGTGTCCGTCAAGGCTGTCTACTATCCCCATTTTTGTTTGACTTCATCATAGACCTGCTGCTGGAAATAACACTCTCGTCGACTGAATTTTCAGGAATTGATCTACCAGGAGGTTCACTTATCGACTTAGAATACGCAGATGACATAGTCCTGTTTGGTGAAGACGCTGACAAAATGCAAAGTCTTCTGCTAGAACTGAGTAATAATGCCAGGATGTTTGGGATGCGTTTCTCCCCATCCAAATGTAAATTGTTACTCCAGGACTGGCCTGCGTCAACACCTAAACTAAGGATAGGGAGTGAAGTAGTCGAACGCGTCGACAACTTCACTTATCTTGGAAGTCTGATCAGCCCTAATGGGTTGGTGCCTGACGAAATCTCAGCACGGATACGAAAAGCTCGTTTGATTTTTGCCAACTTACGTCACCTATGTCGAAGACGAGATATCCGTCTATCAATTAAGGGACGAGTATACTGCGCATCAGTTCGCTCTGTTCTAGTTTACGGCTGCGAAACATGGCCATTAAGAGTAGAAGATACTCGTAGGTTACTAGTATTTGACCACAGATGCCTTAGAAATATTGCTCGCATCTGCTGGGATCACCGGGTAAGTAATAGTGAGGTTAGACGCAGGGTATTAGGGAATGATGGTAAATCAGTTGATGAGGTCATGAATCTTCATCGAGTGAGATGGTTGGGCCACGTGTTACGTATGCCTGAACACCGATTACCACGACGCGCAATGTTGACTAGTGTAGGGGATGGTTGGAAGAGAGTTAGGGGCGACCAAACCAAAACATGGCATCAGTGCTTGAAGTCACTAACTTCTAATCTGAGCCATGTTGGTGGATGCAGACTACCTGGTTGGGGTCCGCGTGACTATCGTAACCAATGGTTGGAGACTCTGGGTGACATGGCTCCACCACTAAATTAATTACTTCTATGAATCCGGTGTTCATCTTGTTGTGCTAACGAGGTATGGCAACTTGGACCGGTGCATATATGTGCCTGGTCCTACGTTGTCGCTGATTGAGTATATTCCAATATATCAGCTCAAGCACTGAATTCAGACATAAAAGCAACTGCAGATATGCTCCACCTCTTTTTTAGGAAGATTTGAGAGGAGGAATAAGTGCTGACAGACTGGGAAGGATACCTCATCAAGATACCAAAGAAAGATCTCAGAAAGTGTGAGATTTACAGAGGCATTACACTATTATCGGTACCAGGAAAAGTTTTTAACTGAGTGTTGGTGAACTGAATGAAAGATTCAATATACGCCGAGGCTCGAGATCAACAGGCCGGACTCCGTAAGGATAAGTCGTGCACAGACCAAATCACAACACCATGGATCATTGTTGGACAATTGACTGCATGGAATTCGTCATCATACATCAAATTCCGTGACTATGAGAAAGCATTTGACAGCGTGGATAGGAGAGCATTATGAAATCTTCGATACTATGGTGTACCTGAGGAATTCATACAACGGACTACACTACAAAGTTGTGAGTGGAAGGCAGCTGACAAACGCTTTTAATGTGAAGACTGTTGTTAGACAAAGTAAATAAAAACTAAAAAGTTATCAAACATGCCTCTGTTATGAAGAGCGCAAATATATAATTCAGAGATGAGTTATGTGTCTCAGTCAAGCCAGTTTACTTATTGATTTCCAGTTTGAGACTTACTTCAATTCACTCAAGTTTGGATCGTGTAGTAAAAAGACGAAGATTATCAGAACTATGTGATATATTGGCGCAATACATTTCGAATAATCTGATCACACATATATTTGTTAGGAACATTTATATACAAAAATGAAAGGTCGACTAGACAAACAGAGGGCAAGAGGAAACAAAGATAGTAAAAATAATGTTAAGAACAATACAAGACTCTCCACGCTGTACAGTGAATTAGTATTAGGAAGGCAGATTTAAGGTGAAAATAGAGGAGGTTTAAATTCCCGTATGACCGAGGCTTTAATAGGCTTTGCTAGTTGATCTGTTATTTCTATGTATAAATGTTCTTAACAGGTTTATTTGTGATCAGATTGTTCGAGATGTATTGCGCTAATACATCATATAATTCTGATAATCTTCTTATGATACTAGCCAAATTCATCATTCAAGTTTATTTATTGACTGAACCTTTATAAAGAATACATTTTATTGTTATTATGAATTTCGTTTAATTACTGGCTGGTGATAAATCAGTCTTGCCCTACAGTCTTGTTAAAATACGCCTTAGCCTCGGAACAAAAATTAGTTCCAACTCCATTTGTAGTTTCCCATGTTGTTCAGAAATAGCAGAGTCTCCTTTCGTAGGAAATGATACTTATCAAGATTGTTCTCTTATTTGGATTTCATCTCTTACTATCCTTCCCTATCGGTGTTAGCATATGGTTCTCTTAAGGAAGCAGTGCACTAGATGCCACGCAGACCGATAAATCGGATCGATGACCCATTTTCCAGACATTACTTCCCACCACAACGAATAGTGGTATCTTAGACCATTAAACAGGTTCTAGTTTGTTTATATCCTAAATTTAAAGTAATTATGTAGTCTAGCTGATTGTTACTGCATTTCTCGAAATCTATACACCTATAATAAATTTGAAAGTAACTTTTATAGGCATATTTGCTGTGAGACAAGCTTTTAATTGAAATCAAGCAATCTGGTGAGAAACAATTTAACATGATTACCGAGTAATTTCCCCAGACAATTGCTAAGCACTCATTTATTTTTTACATGCAGGAAAAAGGTTTCAGTACACCTACTATGATCAAAGTAAAGGAGCAATCTGGCAATCCATACAAGCACTTGATGAAACAGTAAGTTACTTATCGTTCTTTTAAGATTGTTTGAGTAAAATAAGGACTTAATGTCATCAGTAACAACGTCAAGTAACGATAGCTAGGTAGATTCATGCAATTATCTATAGCCTTTTGAACTTCAAGTAGGGTCGGGGGACCTACTTGAATGTCCCATTCAGACTGTTTGGGAATGGTGGGTAGTGGTGCAGTAGCTGAAGGCCAGCTAAACTGTTCTGCTCATCGTTCTAAGCGCCTGGGCTGAGAGCAGAGAAGGGTTTCGTCTTTTTCCGAGATTTTTTCGCTTACACTTGACTTCTTAATTCCGGTTTCTTGTATTATTCTGAATAGTTGCCTACAGCCGCTGCCTTTTCCATCTCTTTTGCTTTCGTTGTCCACCACTGCTCACGATCGTTCCTCAGGCTTTTAGTTAACCTAGATCTAATTTGTTTACGCTCTTCGTCGTGTTCAGAGCCTGATGGGATAAGTTTACGCGAATCCATCAGTGAAATAGACTTAGAAGAAATCCACTGGTTTTTGGGAGCCTTATGGTTTAAATAACGAATAGATGTTACTGCTGTTTCCACAGCTGTTCGTGTCTTTCCAAGCAGCATTTGGGTTAGTCTCGTTTACAGAACTGCCTAGATGTGAACTCAGTTGTTTCTGGAATTCGCATTTGGCTTTCTCGCCCTCCAGTTCAATCCTAATGAGTCTTCTTAGTGTACTTTTCCTTCGTCCATTGAGGCGCAGATAAATGCGCGCTCGTATTAAAGCGTGATCAGAGTCTAAACAAGTATTCCAATACGAGCGACAATCTTCTATTGAGCCTCTCCAACGACGACTGATGACAATATGGTCTATTTGAGTCCATCGTTGGTTTGGTGCAGGTGGTCGCCATGTTAGACGATGCCTCTCCTTATGCTTAAAATTAGTGCTTGCTAAAAATAAACGATTGTCTGAGCATAGTTGCAACAGACGGTCACCATTATCGGTTCGTTGAGCCGAAATACTAAAACACCCACCTAAATGTCTTTCTGTTTGATTTAAGCTGCCTACCTGGGCATTAGAGTCACCCGCTACGAGTACTATGTCTGAGCGCTTAGCTTTCTGAAGAAGCTCAGAGTTTTCTGTAAAAGTCATCCTTCACTTCATCATGGCTGCAGTCAGTGGGAGCGTAGGCGGAAACGACGAAAAGGCAACGACGTGTGTCCCTATCCTTCCGAGTTCTTACGGAGCCATTTAGCCGGACAGCACACAGGCGACTGTTAACGGGGATCCATTCTAATAGTGCCTGTTCTGCCCTTATACTTAGTGCTATGCCTACACCTGCAAGTCCACGAGAACTAGCCAACGGGTCGCCGAATACATGGAGGCCATGGTGACACTTGAGGAGGAAACCGGAAGAAGTTTAGTGTTGAAAGTCAAGGTAGAAGGAATAGTAGGGATTGAAGTGACCGCAGTGCCCAAGGGACAACTGCTTGAGGTCGGTCACACACGACCTTTTTGTGGGTAGTTTTTGTGTTAGCTCCGTACTTGTTGGGACCTTACCGCCGGGGACGGATATCCGTGGGATAAGGCGAGGTGTGTATTTTTAGGGTCGACCTTTTCTAACCTCACCCCTCCTTGTGGGAAAGGAGCATCGCCGTCATGCTGGTTGTCTGAAGAAAACACCTTACTGCCGTCACACCTCTGTACAGTCACAGTACGACTTCGCCTTCGGACCTTTGGTTTTCTGCTTTTAGTCTCACTGCTCTTCAACCGATCTGTCTGGCATGGTAGGACCTTGAGGAACGATTGTTCCAGCCAGTATAGGCAGATTGGTTCATCACGACAGGCAAGCCCGACCACTACTTCAAGGTAGCAGCAACGGCCGGGATTAATTATGTGGTAATGAGTCAGAGGTTGTGGTCGTGACAAACTATTCGGCTTCACTCTGAGAAGACTTCAGCCACATGATAATTTTCATTACTATCCACAACTAAGATCTAGACTTTCTTCTGTTTGGCTGTCGAAACGCGATTGACATTTTACTGTTGCCAATAATATCGCTCCCACAGATCCTTTAGTTCCCTACTATCCTTCTTCAAAACATTAACAAATTCGGCTTATTTAGTGTCATCTGGAATGATAATCTATGGTGTTATTCTGTATTTTACTGAAAACATTTCTGCCATAGAAATGATCTAACGGTACGAATTACTTCTCTATCCATCACATCTGTCGTAGGCAAGATGATGTTTTGTAAATGATCCATTATAATGCAGCCATTCAGCCATACGCAGCGTAATACCTGGCACATTTGTATATCAATTCAAGTTGCCACCCTCATTGGTACAGCGAGATAAAATTGTTTGGGTGAATCCCGGAGTAGTAGATGTAGCAAGTATTAGTGGTTATAAAAAAGGCTAAGGGTCGACGATACGATTCGTGAGGAAATATGGGTCAATGGAATAAAAAAATTTATTAGGTAATCTAGAAACGTGGAATAGAAAGGAAGACAATGAACGGATTGTGTACCATTGTTAACAATTTTGAGTCTCTGACCATGGGTTACGATAATCACACGGACCCCAACCGGGCAGTCTACACCTACCTACATGAATCAGTGTACTGATTGGTCCCTAGATTTCTCTAGAACTACTTCTACCCCAGCTATCGTCGCTAGTCCGGGCAGTCAGCAGGTGGGTGTAAGTAGTACTTGTTCTATCTCACTCAATGAAGATTCACTATCTCGTCAATCGATTTACCTGGTATCCTCAAAACTGCTAATTCGATGGTTCCAAAATGTAGGAATAATGCTTCGAATACACCAATGACTGCTACACAGTACACCCGTCTTTTGGTTGACAGACAAATATCTCGTCTGCGCGAGAAGTGACGCAAGCCGGCAAGCGCCAGTTGATTAGATTTAAACTGACTCATTGCAATGGTTCTTCCATTTCGGTGGAGTCCTAGGTGGTTTGTTTTCTATTGAATTGTGACTGAGAAAGTAAAAGTTCATATGGTATGCACCATCCTTACACGAGTGGTAGTGCCAACAAGACACCTCGATTTCCACTGAAAACGAGCGAATTGCTGTTTCATCTAGGAACTAACTTGAATATATATATATATCTGTCTTTTAAACTTTTAGGGAATGGAGTTAATTGAACGACTTGCTCCTTCTGAATTTACAAGTTACTTAGAGCAATATGGTAACACCATATGCGGAAGACACCCGATAGGCGTACTACTGCAAATTGTTGCGTACTTACGAAGGAATATGCCCAATAATAATTTTAACATGAAGTTTGTACGATATGCTCAATCAGAACACTGTAATAATATGAACCAATCATCTGTCAGCTACGCAGCCGGTGTGCTACAAATATCTTGATATAAGTAACTCTTTCCTTGCATATTATAACGTGTGTATCAATGTTTACATTAAAGTAAAAAAAATCTAAAATTTTAGGGATTGTTAATTTTATTTAAATATATAACAAACTTTTTCTTATGAATTCTTTTATATATTTACTCACGGCTGACTAGAGCACATGCAGCGTAACTCACTGATGAATCTTCCATCGAATGGCAGTGGCTGGATTGTGTATAATTTAAGATTTTAAGTTCCAGGTTAGATGATTGCTTCTGTCGAATACAGTCAATCATAAATAACAACACGCCTATACTTCTCCTGCCGCATATAGTGTTGCTGTACTCTTCAAGATATTTTATGAATGATTTTGGTTTCAGGCTTCGAATTGCATTTAAACCCTTTGAAATATAATATTAAATTCAATTACAATTGGGAGGAATACAATGTGAGAATAAAAATACTGCAGCCACTTACGAGGTGATCGAGTTTCTCAATAGACTGCCATATCGCACCATCGGATTTATTGTAATACTGATATCGAAATCGTTTCCCTGTAAATAAAGAATAAAAGTGATTAGTTTACTGACTGTGGGTATCATTTGGAATCACACTAATAATCGCTGGGACTGAATTCCGTGACATGTGGTCCGACTTTGATTATGTATATAGATTCCTGACAATAAGCGCGTAAAACGAGTACTTGTTATGTTCTCGTATATTCCTTTAAATTTCAGCATAAAATGTGCATTTAAACAAGGCTAGACAATTACCTAATTATAATAACTACTGCCTTGTTGAAGCTTGGAAAAGTTTAGACGGCCTTAGTCAGATTTTTGTAACCAAGTTTAACATGATGAATCACTAACAATTGCTCAGAACGATAACGGACGAAACTACGTAAAAATATACCGCAAGTTGCCATCACTTTCAGCCAAATTAACCATTATGTATACTGCTTCAAATAAACACAAAATATTACGTGGAAAATGCAACAAACCCCAATGACAGAAATCAGAAGATATCACAAAGAGATTCTTCTCATCTAGCAGATAGCTTGATAGGAGGTTCCCGAAGAATTCTTGTTTTTCAAATGATAAGGAACCGACAACTATGGGAACTATGGAGTACTGACCTTTTCTACTTCAAAGCAAAAGTAAAAATAGACATTATTTGTATTAAACTTCAAGATGTTGGTAAAAGAATACGGATTACATCAAGGTACTTATCAGACTCTAATCTGGACAAAACGATAACATCGCTGATAACCAATAGTTTCAGTATTAAACTAGGATGTCACCGGTTATCATAATTAATTGTCAGATTGACTTGACTATTTAGTATTAAGATGTAGGAAAGCTCATTGTCACCAAAACACTGGGATACTTTTTGCTAGTATAATTATTTTTTTTAAGTTTACAGGATATGTCTGCTACTACTAAGTCGTCTACTGCCTAATATTTTTGGGTACCCCCCGAGTGGTTTCGAAATCGAAACACGACTTCTGTAGGAACAAAAAAAGTATTTGAAAAGCGGAAAGCCAAGTTAACCAGTTGTGTCGACTAAAAGTGACTTCCATTTATAAAAGAAGAAACTATCACTGAATATAAATCAATACAACGAAGATACATCGGAAATAGAATAACGAACTTCATACTGAATAAAATTAGGTGAGCGAAGTTCACTTTAAACCAATTTGTGAATTTTAAAACTAATTTTTTGATAGATATAGTGTTTGCGGATTCTGTATCCCCAAAGAAAGGTGAGATATTTCTGTAGAGAATTCAGTCAACAGGTTTCCCAAAGAGAAGAACGTACACACCTTGATGACCTGATGCAATTCCAACTCACACGTGCATTAGTAGTAGTATTACGTAGTGCTGGTATAATTAGATACGGTGATATTTACACTACGGACAGGGATTGTTGTATAGTTCAAGGCTAACTAGCGATTTGGTAGGAGGGATTTCGAAATAGAAGTAAACCTTCCGAGTACATACCTGCAGACCATAATTCTGATAAAATAATCGAGGATGACCCTGATATAGGGAAATTTAGCGAATGGTGATTTGCAGTATGAAAAAATATCCGTGAATATGAATGGACTGTGGTCTTCAAGGGTGTTTCTTCTTGTATAAACTACAGAGAACCTATTATTTGACGTATCCGTTCTCGACAAACCGTTAAGTTTTATATAAACCACATGGATAAATGCTTGGTATGTTTTATGATCTCGCTAAGTTATTGAAGATATTCAAGTTGTGTCTATGGAGTCGAGAAAATTACCACATGGAAAAGCTTACCGTTTCATGATGTGAGCAATATACGGTAACTGCATTTCCACAGAGTGTTCAGCTTCATCCTGACTCTTTTCCAGAACGCTGAAGCAGTTAAGACTTTTAAGGCTGTTGTATACTTAAAAGGGGTATTAAATTAATTTTTCTTACCATTAGTATTGATCTTTAAGTTATAAAATGGAGTTTCATACTCAGATACACAAGTCAGAGCGCATGTATCCCCAATATATAGACGATGTGAGGGACCTATGATAAAAATACATTCTCTTTGAAAAAGAAACATTTAATTAAAGCTCCAATTACATTTTGTCAGGATTTATTAGACGGTACGCGTGGGCTGCACATAAACCAGAATGTCGGTAACCTGCATGACTTGATATGTTTATTAGTAAAAATAATATCATACGGTACTATAATTGCCCGGACTAAAGATCCATTCGAAACGTTGTTTTCACAACTTTCTAACCAAGTGTCTAACTGTGATGACAACTCTGTTCCTAATTATGGTTAGTAATTATTTTGCTAATAGTCGCTCAACTGTCTGCAGAATACCAGCTTCCAGCGTGTGAACTAACCCGGATAGAACCGAGGGTCAAATCCATTCAGAGCTAATTGTTCACAAACTTCGGATAGTACCTTGTTATAATGATATATCTAAAATTAAAACATCGTGAATTCCGTAAGAAGTAGGGAAAACCAAAGGCTGGGTAGGAAAACAGGTGGTGATATCAGGAGAAAAATCGACCCGTATAATTCAAAGTGCTTGGTGATGAGATACGTTCTAGTTAGGTAAGCTGTTAGCAAGAAGTCATAAGGTCAGTAGGTTAGCGAAAAAAACACATGTCGTCCACAGATCGTAGTAACAATTACTGTTTGTATCTAGTTCGGCACCTACATTGAGATTCATTGACATGTGCCAACTGTACAGTTGGCAGTATTATAAAAGTAAACCTTGGCAGCCGACCTCGTCTTTTTAACTTGCTGAGGCGATATTCCAATCTTCAGGAGCTTAAAAAATTTTTGAAAGCAGAATAGTTGTTTATTTCCCCTGACTTAATAACACAAATTTATAAGAGCGTACCAATTATATCTCGTCGTGTATTATTACACCGTTTTTAGATCTCTCTCATATAATTTTACTTAGTAAGGGCTGCTTGTTTTACTTAATTATTGGCGTTCATTCACTATACAACCATTCAAGTAGTAGTTTCCACTTCTTTGGTCTTATGTAACTATCAATCCTGTAGTGTATTTCACTCACACAACTTTATTTACATCTTGCTATACTAAACTAATGTATGTTCTAAAGAACGTTGAACTAAACTCATCTGTGCATTTTAAGGGGTACAGGTTGTAAGATGCTTGCGAATACAGCACGGTAACAAAGTCAGCGGATTTTGAGGTCACCCGCCGTTTTGCTTCAACGACCTTGGACGGTCTGACTGGAGGCGGTCAAACCTTAATTCAATGGCTGAGGATCGGTTGAGTTGCACAAATATCAGGTTATTTTCATATGCAAGTAGTCTTTTGCTGCGGCGAAACCACAAAATCATTGCGAAGAACATGAATTTACCTCTCTCTGTCCTGCAGTGCACACGTTGGACCGATTGTTGCTTCATAGCTTCCTAAACTCCCCATTTTGGTGAAAATTTTGTCCGGTCTGGGTAAATTTGGGTCGAAGGCGTCTTGTTCTGTTTTTATGAAAGCAAAAAGAATTGCGAGCAGATGTAACCTGGCTCGTGGATAAATCGTGACATGCCGGTGACCTTGTCGTCAAATGCTACTGGCATGCATAAGATGAACTCTTACATATAAGCTCGATCAATTACCAAATATAAACGGTATAATTCATCATATTCTTAGATATTGAAGTCGATGGAAGATAGATAACACTCAAAACCTTCACAATAACAACAATTTCACCACCCCGATTAAGCAAACATTATGTACAGATTCAAGGAAGTCGATTTTTATTTAGAATCATCAATAATTAGGTAAGACTGTAATTTCTCTAGAGCTTGGCTTTGTGTAACATTCTTTACGATAGAAATATGGATCCGAATACAACAAAGTGTGGAGAAGTGGCAGGAACTGTTTACTATAAAAAGTTATTTATAGTAGTTTTCTAACCTAACGATATATCCAACATATAAAGTGTTTTTTCTGAATCAGATGTAGCTGTTTCTTAACCAGTAGTAAGGGCACATCAATGGACTTCTACCTAATTTTTATTTTTTTCGTAGTTTCATGGGGAGATATACTGATAATCACAATGGGTAACTGATTCTGAAAACTAAAAGCTACTAAGTGTTGGCTTTATAAGTACTCGTTTTGTTACAAAAAATTGTAGTAGTGCATCAGTTTAGACGTTTTGCTGCAATTTAGCATTGTATGCATAAATTTCTTCAATATGACACCATATTCGGACGAATACTTGTTGTGGGATTGTTTCCTAATCACATGGTCTTCGAAACCAAGCATATAATGACTGAAAAACATGCACGATCGACATGTAGCACTTACTTACTTACTTACTTACTTACGCCTGTTACTCCCAATGGAGCATAGGCCACCGACCGGGCTTGTATTTTCTCATTTCTGCGGCAATTTGGAAGACTCTTCCGGTCTCCCACGTTGTCCGGACATTCCATGTACCTATAAAAATTTTCGCTCTGGTTGTAAGAAGGTGCATCGGCCTCATGACTTCCGAATGAACTCGGCTTTCATCATGAGACGTCATAATTATTCCTTCTACTCCCAGGGCAGAGTTTGAAAGGTTTGAATGATTTTTTCTGATTAGCGTTTTTTTAGCGAGTTGATTTTCTACGGGATGGGGTCGCTAACCCCATGACCAACCCTCCTCCTTTACCCGGGCTTGGGACCGGCAGTAACCCCCAGAGGAGCTACAGGCGGAGTTACATGTAGCACTATATTTATTTATTTATTTAAACACATAAATATTGGTACAAGGAAGCACCAGATAAATATGCGCCTCACAAATCTCATTAGATTTGTCCGAGAGCTGTGATACTGCCCAGGTGCCCAGATTGAAGCAGGTAGTTTTCTTTGGGGGCCACACCCGGAGCCTTTGACCTGAATGTCTGATCCACAAGGCAGTGGAGCATCGTGAGGAGATACAGTCCCATGGTAGCTTTATGCAGATCTAAAAACCAACAAGTCAATCGTGAAAAAAAACTAATAAAATTCATTATCAGTATCGAATTTAGTAAGCAAATGAGATAGCAAACGACAGGATGCACCTATATGTGTTTTGCTTGTTGTAAACAGTGCTCTTCATTTTCCAGCCCCCCTCGAATTTCACCAGGTCATTCGGTATTAACAAAACAAACTACAGACACCAAATTAATACATTCGAAAACTATGATTAGTAGTTTTAAATCTTGGGGAAAATCCGATTACAACGTTCATAAAACTGTTAACAACTCACTGTTCACACACGACAATGACATCATAGGTAAGCACTATTTGGATACCACTCGTGAATATGCACTAAAACATTGCTTATAATTTGGTCCTTGATTACGGATTCTGTATACAGAAACCCATTCATAAACCCAATAACAGACACATCGTAAACTAGTATTAACTACGACATGTTTTAGTTACTATGCTCAAAACAAACATGCATTGCTTTACTTATGAAGAACATGTAGCTATTTATGTGGTACTCACAGTAATGTTATACACAATTCCTGTAAATGCTCAGAAAGCGGGTAGAATAGGCTATCAACGTCAATTGTTACTAATATAATTTTTCTTTCTCAGATACCTTACACAATATTATGTTAGTTCAGTCGAAAATGATGATACTTATGATGGATAGAACTGTTTGCGAATGTATATTAGTAAGTTATATAATGCTCATAAATAGTTTAACGCTCAACTGATTCAATCTACATTTTATGAACAACTATCAACACCCATGTTCATCACTACCATAATTAAGGAGATGAGTCATATGTAGATGGTTTTAGAGCTCGTTTTTGCCTGAAACTCTGATTTCCGTTTATTTTTGACTTGACAAATGGTGAATTTCACTTGCCTGAGTTTGCGTTGTTACAAATAACCAAATTAGGCTTACTAAACATTCACAATGGCCGTGAGCAACAAATATATCAAGCTGCTAATACACTGAAACAGACACTATGTAAATAGCACGAAGATTATAAAAATTGACGTGTGACGGGCAAAATGCTGTTAATAGCTAACAAATAGGGATATATAAAATTCTCGACATGTAGCATGTGACCGAGAACCCGTGGCATAACTTTTCGACTATGCCGACGAAAACACAACGAATTCGTCAGAGAACACGCCAAATATGACTTGGCGTATACACACGGTGATGAAATCGGTCAAAAAATTGCCCCAACCTATGGAGCAACGCGTGATATTTCAAAACAGCAGTGGCAATTTTCCTCGGAGTATATTTTATAGTCTTGATTGCTTAATTATGCATCAAGGCTACTGTTATTGCTTTCATTGAATTTATTTCAGCTAAAGTATTTCACAAACGTACCGCTCTTTTTCGGGAGAAGTTTATCATCTGTACATCTGGAGTACAGATACGAAAAATCTTAAAGCGTTGGTTTTTTTCGTCGATGAGTACCGTTTGCTTCAAATACCATCACGTTATCCACTTAGCTACTGAGTCCTGATAGCCACCAGTTTGTGTAATGGAGTGAAGTTTAAATTCACTTGGTGTTGTTTGCTTGTATCTTCCCATTGTTATTTTGGACTGCAATTGATCAGTCTCTTGTTGACATAAGTGGAAGATACATTAAACAATACCACGTGAATTTAAATTTCACTCCATTACACAAACTGGTGGCTATCAGGACTCATTAGATAAGTAAATAACGTGATGGCACTTGAAGCACATGGCACTGGGTTCGAGTCTCAAAGTGAACATCAACCCTGAGATGCAGATACATACAGCTGTAGAGTCCCAAATAGAACGAAACGCGCGTACTGGATTCCACTATCCATCTTTGCTTATAAAGCCTGTGACTGCATGCAATATCAAGGCTTTTCGCACAAGATGCACACATGTCAACAAGAGACTGATCAATTGCAGTCCTAATTAACAATGGGAAGACACATGTAAACATCGCCAAGTAAATTTAAAGTAGGATTTACTGTCACTCGATTTTTTTACTTCCTATGTACTTTCATGTGAATGAAATGATACAACTTAGTGGCTTCTTGTATGCAAATGTCAATCTAACTAAATTATTTTGTTTAAACTCAAGAGATATTATACTGAGGTGGTACTATGCTGTTGTTCGACATCTTGAAAAAATCCCATATGGTGTCTGTATCATAACACTATGAGTAATTAGTACGAAGTAAATAAGCCTTTGCAAAATAAACCTGTCAGTACATGGAATACCGACTACATGTTGTATATCATCATGTGCAATGAAAATCATCTATCTAAACCTATTAATTTTAGATTTAACGTAGTTTAAACTTCAACATTGTATTCCTCAAGGCAATATAAAATTCATGTTCTATTGCAAATCCCGTTTAATCACCAGGGTTGAATAGAGTGAAGATTTGCAGAGCAACATCCAAATTT